AAGTTCACCCTATTTCTTGCACTCTGAATTAAAGTGTACTAAACTTAAGTGAAATGCCAATAATTGAGTATCTCTGGATGGGTCAATCAATGAATGTCTCAGTAGTTGTGGTACTTGAACCTTGAGCTATCAATAGAAAGACTTAGTACAGTAGAATTAGGAACCTGGGGCTGGCCCGGTGGCGTAGTGGTTAAGTTCACATGCTCTGCTTTGGTGGCCTGGGGTTCACAGGTTTGGATCCCAGGCACAGACCAACACACCACTTGTCAAGCCATGCTGTGGTGGTGTCCCACATACAAAATAGAGGAAGATTGGCACAGATGTTGGTTCAGGGACAATCTGCCTCAAAGAAAAAAGAGGAAGATTGGAACAGAAGTTAGGGCCAATCTTCCTCACCAAAAGAAAAAAAAAGAAATAGGAACCATGTCCCTATTCTGTTATTTAATAAAATATTGTTTAATACTTATTTAGTAAATAAATGTTAACTCATTTAACGTTTATTTAATATCTTTTATTCTATTAGCAGAATTTTGTTTAATGTGTATTTGATAAAAATCATAAAGCAAACCTGAATATATCTTAAGAATTACAGAGAACAGAAATTGTCAACCATAGAGTTAGTCAGGGATGGAAGAATTTGTAGTTAAAAATACAAGTAGGTAGCCTGGACATGGCCACACAAGATAACAGTGCCTTGGTGTGGTTGTCACATTCTGGGAAACTGGTTCCCAACTCTGCAGGGCCAGAACTTGGATTTTTGTCCAACCCTCAACCTGGAAGTTGAGAATCATGTTTAGACTTGAAGCAGTCAGACTCCTGAGAGACCAGTTTATAAAGCAGAATATAAATTCCTTGGATGCCACTGATCTGAGCACTCAGCGGCAGACTAACACATTCTGTTCCTGAAAGGACTATCAAATTAGTATCAAGAGTGTGCTTGCGAGTTCAAAGGAACATATAGAGAATGCTACCTTTTGTGTGAAGAAGAAGGGAAAATGAGAAAACATGCTTATCTTTCTGAAAAGAAACACAGGAATGATAAACCAGAAAACTGGTGGGTTACCTTCAAACAGTGGAGGGAGAGCAAAATGTAGAGGGTGGGGAGGAGGGGACAGGAGGAAGCGACACTTTGCTGAGCATAGTTTTTTGTATGTTTCACTTTTGAAAGCATGCCAGTATTCTACACATTTAAGAAATACAATTAAATTAATAAAGATGGGAGGGAGGAATCTAAAACTAAACGCAAACGAAAGCACATGAACTCAGTTGTGTCTTAAATTAACACTAGAAGCACACTGAAAGGAAAAGAAAAACGAGTCGCTTGTAAACACAGTGTTTAACTGTATTCCTGCAGTCTTTGGGTAGGGTCAGGTGTGATCTTGTGATTTCCAAGATGTTTTATGTGTCAGTGTATATATGTGTGTGCGTACATACATATGCATGTGTGTGTATTTGTATGTTCGTGTATGTGTGTGTGTTGTGTATGTACCTGTGTATGTGCACGTGTGTGTGCATGCATATATATGCATGTGTGTCTGTTTGTATGTTCATGTATATGTGTGTGTGTGTTTACTTGCTCCGTAGCAGTGAGCACACTGAGGGCCTCGACCCTGACCTCTGATGTCCCTTCCCCACTGAAATGAACCAGACCTCAAAGAAATGGCTGCTTTCAGGACTGGGGCAAAGTAGGTTTGGGATGAGCCTAGAGCATCTTGTTATGCCAGAAAGGAAACGCTTAAAAAAAAGATGGGATCATGTCACATGGGCCCAGTAGCAAGCTTGTTTCTTGTCGCATATAGTAGAGCCGCTCCTGCCCTGTTTTGGTTACTATTTACATGGAATATCTTTTTCAGTCCTTTTACTTTCAACCCATCTGTGTCTTTGGATTTAGAGTGAGTCTCTTGTACACAGCATGTAGTTGAATCCTGTTTTTTTATCCACTCTGCCAATCTTTTGATTGGAGCATTTAATCCATTTACATTTAAAGTAATGACTAATAAGGAGGGACTTCTGTCATTGTGCTGTTTTTCTGTATGCCTTACAGTTTTTTTTTGTCCATTTCCTGCATTACTTCTTTTGTGTATAATTTTTTTGTAGTGAAATGTTTTAATTTCTTTCTCTTTTCCTTTTGTGTGTATTCTATAGCTGTTTTTTTTTTGTGGTGAACATGAGAATTACATTTAACATCCTAAAGTTATAACACTCTAATTTGAATTTTTGCCAGCGTGACTTCAATAACATATAAAAACTCTGTCTTAATTTCTCCCTCACTTGTGAAAAACAGTTTGACAGGATATAGGATACTTGGTTGACAGTTTTTTTTCTTTTAGCACCTTGAATGTGTCAGCCCAGGGCCTTCTGGCCTCTAAAGTTTGTGATATGAAATCTTCTGATAATCTCATTGTGGATCTCTTATATGTGACGAGTTGCTTACCTCTTGCTGCTTCCAAGAGTCTCTGTGTGTCTTTGAACAGTTTGATTGTACTGTGTCTCAGTGGGTCTCTCTATTCATTCTACTTAGAGTTGAGCTTCTTGCACGTTTATATTCATGTCTTTCATCAAACTTGGGAAATTTTCAGCCATTATTTCTTCAAGTAATTTTTCTGCTGCTGCTTCCTCTCTCTTATTCTGAGATTTCCACATGTTTATGTTGGTCCACTTGATGGTGTCCCACATATGCCTCGGGTTCTGTTTACTTTTCTTCAATCTTTTTCCTTTCTGTTCTTCAGACATGATAATTTCCATCATCTGGTCTTTGAGCTCGCTGATTCTTCTGCTGGCCAGATGTGCGTTTGAATCTCTAGTGAAGTTTTCATTTCAGTTATTGCTCTTATCAGCTCTAGTATTTCTTTCTGGTTTCTTTTCAGGTTTTTATCACTTTATTGAAATTTCCATGTTATTCGTATATTGTTTTCTTGGTTTTCTCCACATCTTCTTTTAGTTCTTTAAGCATCTTAAAGACACTTGTTTTAAAGTCTTTTGTTTAGGTCCACCATCTGGCCTTTCTCAGTGACAGTCTCTGTTGATTTATTTTTTTCCTTTGAATGGGCCGTACTTTCCTGAATCTTGGTATGCTTTGTGATATTTTTGTTGAAAACTGGATGTTTAAATCTAATATTGTGGTAACTCTGTAAATCAGAATCTTCTCTATCCCCAGGGTTTGCTTGTTTTTGTTTTTGATTGTTGCAGACTATCTCTGTGCTGGGGATCAGCCTGAGCTATAAACCCAAGGTCTTCGTGGTCTTTTCTGAGCCTGTGCCTTTCTCTGGGTATGCGTGGTGGCTTTCTTAACTCCCCTGTATATGCCGTTGCTTTCGAAGGTCCCTAGTCTTTAATGTCTGGCTCCCAAAAGGAGAAAAAACAGCAAAATGAAGGGGGGTTGGTGCCAGCCCTTTACATCCTCTGGTAGTTGCTTATGCCAGACTAAAGGAGGAGCTTGCAGCCACAGGGGGTGGAGTGCAGCAGTGGCCACCAGCCTGTGTCTCTACCTCCGTGATCAGAAGCAGCAGCCAGTGATCAGAACACAAATTCTGATGTTTGCAAGACAAGTCCTTATTGCCCACCCTGGCATCCACGTGCTATGTGCAAGCTGTTCTCGCACCTCCTGCACTGCCTGCCATGGGTCTAGGGGTGGTGGATGGGTAGCTACTGCCCATCTAAGAGCTGAAATTGACCAAAATTAACTGCAGTTTCCCTCCCAAGTCTTCCCCTGGAAGCCACAAGCCTTCAGTAGACTCCAGAGGTGTGAAATAGTCTTATCAGACAGATTCTGCCTGTGCAGTCGTTGTCTAGATGGGAGACAGCTTCCCAGTGCTTCCTGTTCCTCCATCTTCCCAGAATCCTCTCTCACACTCATTTTTATGCGGTTAACTAACCATTGTGGTAATAGAAATGAGGGTACTTTGCCACCTTGACTACCAGGTGTTACTCACTAGAACTGTTTTAAATTTTGTAACAGAAGGCCTTAAGGATTATCTGGGTGATTTTAAAAGCCAATTCCAACATATGTGTGCACTTTCCCTATAGAATTTCCTAGAGAGAGGTTTTATAACTTCCTAACTGGCCCGCAGCAAGTTCTTTAAGTCTCAGGCGTGTCTGACTGCCTGAGCAGGTGGCCTCGGCGGCCTCTCCGTGTTGCTGTGCTCCCAGGGTGCATCTTCCCTTCCCTCCCCTTTGTTCTCTTGTGTGTCACGAAATGTAAGCGTCTCTCTCATGTTCCTGATTGAACTATAGATTTTACAAGCTGTCCTTGAAATTGATCACTCATGGAAAAGTAATGTCCCCTTTCTTCTTTATTTACCCAAACAAAAGAAACAAAGAAAAAAGTCTAAAAATCTAAAATCATATTCACAGAACACCTACCATTTGTAGTTCCACATGAAATCCAGGATTATTTTTCATAGATTTACGTAGGAAAACTTAGCTAAGAAACTATATCTCCTCACATAGTTTGTGAGACTCAACAAGAGAGCATGTGAAAGTTCTTTGAAAAGCATAAAAAGCTTGTCTTTTTTGAATCTTCTTTATAAAGCAGGAAAAAAAAAAATACCAAGCTGTAGGGGGGAATGTAAAAAGTAGAAACCTGAAAGACTTGTAGTCTTACCTACCCTGAGAGAAACAGAGAGAAATTCTTAAGACTAGCTGTCTAACCAAATATCATATATCATATATACTACATATTGTTCAATAATAACAAAATCACAATTATTCATTGTGTTCTGCAACTTGATTATAAAGTGTCTAAAATAATATCTTACATTCATAGCATAGTTAGCATGGTTTGTTTGAAAGGAGATCAAAATATGGCAAAAGAAAATACATCTCAATTTAATCAAACCAACTTTCAGTTTACTGTTAATATCTTAGTTGATAAAAATGTAAATGTATAGGAAATGTATGTTTCAGGTTATAATGTGAAAATAACTGAAAAAATTCCATTCTTTTTTCGCAGCATTAATGTAGACACTAGGCATAATTCTGTGTGTGTGTGTTTCTTTCAGGGCTAGTGGTGGGATTTATCCTGACCATTGCAAATTTCAGCTTTTTTACCTCTTTGCTGATGTTTTTCCTTTCTTCTTCAAAACTCACTAAATGGAAGGGAGAAACAAAGAAGCGTCTAGATTCAGAATATAAGGAAGGTAAAGTGAATTATGTTTGATATTACTTAAAATAGTAACCTTTGTTTCATCCTAAGGTATCATAAGTTTTTAATTAGAACATGTTTAGACTGTTGAAAGAGATTTTATATGAGAATTACTTTAAGTAGTAGCCTAATTTAATTTATCATTACTTCGCCACAATAGTAAGTCACAGTAGAATTTTAGAACCACTAAAATCTCTCAGTAAGTATTCTAAAACAGTATGGTATGTGGGCAAAGGTACCATCCCACTTTTCGTCATTTTTAAAATTACAGTCATTTTTCTTGAAGTTTACAGTAAAAGTTCCTATAGCCACATGATTTTCCTTCCAGGAGGAAAGCTTTCCTGTCCTTGTCCTGTGCTTGTTTGTCTCCAGGGGGGCAGCGGAACTGGGTCCAGGTGTTCTGCAATGGCGCTGTGCCCACAGAGCTGGCCCTGCTGTACATGATAGAGAACGGCCCCGGGGAAATCGCAATAGACTTTTCCAAGGAGTACGCTGCTTCCTGGATGTGTTTGTCTCTCTTGGCTGCCCTGGCCTGCTCTACTGGAGATACATGGGCTTCAGAAGTTGGCACCGTTCTGAGTAAAAGCCCACCAAGACTGATAACAACCTGGGAGAAGGTTCCAGTTGGTTAGTCTTTATTTAGGTTTAAGTTTCTTTAAATAGCAGAAATGAACAAAACCTCATGATTTATTGTGTTTCTTATTTGAGTCAAAATTTTAAGAATTTTGGTTAGTCTTCTTAATTGTAGAATTGCTGTAGGCTCTTAAATTGGTGGTAATAAATAATATTTTCAGGAAATGTTAGCAAGTTCTAGATAAAGAATACAGAAACATGGAGATTGACCCATAGACAGATCAGTGGGAAGGGAAGAGGAAGGGAACTGGAGGATATTTCTTGAGGGCCCGTTAGGTATTGAGCGCTTTGGCATCTGTCTCACCTCCCCATTGCCATTGTCGTCAACAGCTACTACTCCTTTTTTGTCTTTATCATCATCTCCTCCTCCACCTCCTCCTTTTCTTTCTCCTCCTTCCTCTCCTTCTTTTTTCTTCCTCCTCTTTATCGTTATCATCATCGTAGCAGCTAACACTGAGCACCTACTTTGTGCAAAGCACTGTTGTAACTGCTCTACGTGGATGACCGTTTATACTCTTCTTAGTAGTCCTGTGAATTGGCTCTTTTATTATTTCCATCTTACAAACAAGGAAACTAAGGCATCAAGAAGTCAGGTAACTTTGCCACAGTCACATAGCTTGGGAGTGGCAGAACTGAGTTTGAAACCATGCAGTCTGGCTCCACTAAACCTTCCACTTCTGCTTAGAACGTCAGCAGTAGCTGAGGAGAGAAGACTGTTTTCTAAGTCGGCTGTGGTCTTTGGATCGCATCAAAGAGAACCTTTCTTTATAGTCGTTTTTGGTTAGATAGGTACCAAACTTGTTTGCTTTTCTTGACTTTGTGTGTTTGCTGATTGTTAACCAAATGATTTTATCCATTCTTCTTCTTCAGGGACCAACGGAGGGGTTACGATGGTGGGCCTCGCCTCCAGTCTCCTTGGTGGTACTTGTGTGGGCATCACGTACTTCCTCACACAGTTGGTTTTTGTTAACGATTTAGACATTTCTGCTCCCCAGTGGCCAATTATTGTATTTGGGAGTTTAGCTGGATTACTGGGATCAATTGTGGACTCATATTTAGGAGCTACAATGCAGTTTTCTGGTAAGAACATTACCTTATTATTGCAACTTATTGGTATATTAAAGAAATGGAAAACAGATACGGAAAAGAAATTAAAAAAGATGTGACAATGAAAACAATCCCAGAGACACAGATTGTTGGACCAGGAAGGATAGGGCAAAGTCTTCTACGGTTTTGATTTTCTTATGCTTTTGTGTTAAATTAATTAGAAGAGAAGTAGTCCTGTGGAGCAATGAGCAGAAGCTATGCAGGGAGGCTAAGACAGTACAGGAAACAGATGCTTCTACTTATGGGACTTCGCCTGATCCCAGGAAAGCAGAACGTCTGGGATCAGAACATTATAATGCCCCTCCTTCTGTCTTCCAAGTCCATTTAAGAAATAAGTACTCTGTCGATCTGATGATATGCATATGATCTCCTTTTCTGTTGTGACATCCTATTTGCTGTCCTCCCTACTGAGTTTTAGTCTCACTCAGGATATTGGGAGACTTGGTCCCCAGGTTTTCTGTGCTTTGCTTCTGAGGCGTTTCTGTCATGTCAATATACTGGCATGTTCTGTTGGGTGTGTATTTGCTCCATACTCTAACCAACCATGTTTTCTCCTTTGAGTCAGACACAAAGAGGCTGGGCGTCTGGAGGAAGGTTCCCTGAGACACCCCTCTCAGTTCTCTTCGTGTCCCAAAGTAATCTCCTGCCCTTCCACTCCCCTCTCACCAGTCAGAATGTGTGTTCTTTCAGCTTCTTTAGTCTCACTGAGACACTATGGAGGAAGCACTCTGATTTTAATTGACACTACACACGCACATACAGACATTATACGTGTTTTTTAAAGAGTCTAGGTTTTCTTCTAAAGTGGGCTCTAACTGGGGAAGTTTCTGATCATATTGAGTGGGTTGAAAAAAAATGGCCTGTGGGGCAGATTAATTCACTCAGTAAATCTTGTGCCAGCACCTTACGGGGTCCTGGGTATCCATTCATGGAGGTGAAAGAGTGGTCCCTACTCTCAGGGGCCTCAGGCTGGTCTTGGAGGGAGCCATCTCTGCTTTCATGTCTCCCTTCTGCTTCTGAAGGGCTCCAGCAGTGTTGAGAATGGTGTTGGGGTGTGCCGAGCCCCATTTATTCAAAGAGGTCTTTTGTAATCAAGGATTCCGTAGCTCTCACCATATAGATTATCCACTAAAGTCATTTTACAAGTGGCTGAGAATCTTTCAAAGATTATCTCCTTTGGAGGAGAAAAGCTAATTTGTTCTTTTTTTAAATCAAGTCCTTTGGATTTTCCACTCCAGGTTTGGATGAAGTTACTGGCCTGGTGGTCAACAGCCCGGCGAGGGAGGTAAAGTACATAGCAGGGAGACCCATTCTGGACAACAATGCCGTGAATCTGTTTTCTTCTGTGGTCACTGCCCTCCTGCTCCCAACGGCTGCTTGGGGGTTCTGGCCCAGGGAGTGAACTTTATTTCATTTACAAAGGTTGGAACTGTGGTAAGTTCAGCTAAATTTGCAATTCCGAGTTTCATCCTAAGAAGAGTAACAGTAATGACATGGCGAAAATGCCAGCTCCTTCCATGTCCATCGTGATGGAGTCCACATTTTCCTCTTAGCAGCTCCTCGTAACAGCTGCCGTCTTCCTCCTGAGTGATGAGCACACAGACTGTGCCCATATTTCCCTTCTACTCAGCAGAACTTCCTGAGCAGTGAAGCTAAAATGTCCCTGTATGTTGCTGTGCACTGAACTGAAAGCTCCTACTTGGTAGATAAAACTTTTGTTTTTTTAAACCAGTGTAGGGACTAAAAGGGATAAAATTTTAAAGTGGTCTCAGTTCTGGTGGAGAAGTGCTGCTGTGCCGATTGTTATATCTGTTTTGAGTGGTTTAAACCAATGAGTGTGGAGCCCGAGCAGGTGTGTCCTGCTCTTCTCCTGTCACTTGCATTTCCAGTCGTGAGGAGCGTGGACTTTGGTTCCCAGTGACCTGTGAGGCCTGCTCCATGTTTGTTCTTCCTTCCCCAGGGTTAGTGATGGAAAAAAAGCAAATGTCTTTTTCATATGACAATTTAGAATGCATGAAAATATTTTTAAGTAAAAGCAAAAGAGATCTACCTTGTATCTGAAAAACGTGCACCTTACCATATATTTCAGTTGATCTCTGAGCAGCAATTATCTGAAATTTAAAATTTTTTAATATATTTTCTAGCTTTCTTTGAAATTTGTATAGGAATCTGGAATTGGCATCTTGAACAGTTAGAGTCACTGGGAGAATCCTTTTCATTTGCTCTCCTGGAAATTGCTGGAGACGTCATGATTCTCTGTTCTGCACTTCTGTGTTGTGCTTTCCTCTTCACTGCATCCCCGGCTCAGGTGCACCCTGCGTTTCACGATGACTCACTTTGTGGTGAAGGAATGTGATGTGCTGTGGATTTTTTTACTGAAAGTATTTTGAAATATTTCTCATGATTTCCGTAACTTTCCCCCTGCCCCTTTTTCATTCTTAGAGAAATTGGGGGAAGATTCCATGAATAAGGCACCATCAGAGTGGATAAAGCTTAGAATACTTTATAGGTGACACTACTACAGTGACGATCTAGAACTGACATGGTTCAGGAAAAAATAAAACAGTTGACACCCTTAATCCTTAAGCCAAGCAACTCAGTGAGTCTCAGCCATTGGTTTTCAACTTTGGGTCTAAGTTGGAAACACTTGAGCACCTTAAAATAATACTTTTATCTGTGCTTCACCTCCAAAGATTCTGATTTATCTGGTCTGGGGTACAGCCTGGGCATTGTGACTTTTTAAAGCTCTGGCTGCCCCCTAAGAATCATGTAGAGAATTGTCAAAAGTACTGTTGCCAAGGCCCCTCTCTAGAGCAAGAAAATCGAAGGTCTGACAGTGAGACTCACACGTGGGTTACTTTTATAAAGCTCTCTGGGAGAGTCTAACGTTTAAACAGGTTGAGAACTACTCCGTAAGAATATCCTAAAGCACTGTACCTAAAAGAGATTTCAGAAGAGTGACACTTTTCATTTCTGTGCAGACAACTGTTAGCAGCAGGGGGGTGAACAGCCGGTGATCATAGAATGTCTATAGCTGCGTCGCTTCCACGTCATTCCTGCCTCGCTGCTTCATGCACTTGTTCTAGCAGAGCTTTGTTTCCTCTTTTCCTCGAGGTTCATCCTCATGACGTACTATGGGACAAAAATATTTATTGGAACCATCTTTGAGTTTGGTAGAATCACCATATCATTAGTATTTTGGGGAAATACTGCTTCACAACAGTCCTTTCTCTGGAAACCTAGGGATAGTCGTGTTTTGGAATCCAAGTTTGTCAGATTTTAGAAAAGTAAAATATTTTACTTAGAACTCCCAAAAGAGTCTAGGGTGGCACTCATTATCAAATAGACCGTAAAGAACTCAGATCAGGTCAGGTTTTGTCATCAAACTTAGGGAGAAACTTGTTGTTTTCAGAGCTTTATTGGGTATGAAAATTGTAGATAAGGAATTATGGCTTTTTAAAAAAAATCTTAGGTGTAGTTTACTGTAACATCCTTTATAATTGGATATTTAACTAGTTCAGCCTATTCTTCCTCTTTACTGAGTGAGCAGTTCATATAAAAAAACCTTTTCCTGGAAAGAGCTCCATGTAATAGTACAATAAAACAATACGTTCTGCCTGCCTTGGCAGCCGAGAGGTGTGTGCACCATTTCTTGTCATGCTGTTACACAGTAGAGCAAGTTGTTTGTGGCTCAGGGCAGCTCCTGAGGGACCCGAAGACGTCAAGGAATGGCACTTGAAGACTCATCAGATGGAGCCACCAAGAGAACGATGAGTCACTACAACCTTCTTAGCTTCTCTTGTTACTTGGGTTATCCTTCTCAGCCAAGGTGCATATATCTCTCTTATTTCCAGCTGCTATATATATGTATTACATATATGTGTGTGTGTGTGTGTATGTATATGTAGGATGTTGGCTTCAGGAATGCCAACCCCTCCCAACTGGATATAGACCTAGTGTGGAGAAAAATCATGTGAGCTCAGGTATTGTGAGCTTTGCTGTGTGCCTGCAGGGTGAACAGCTGCTGCCGTTGGTGCACAGTGGGTATGCTCTGCCTGACCATCTGATGTTCCTCATGCTATCACAGTGAGAAAAACTGTATTTAGCCACCAAACTCCCAGGTGAACTGTGCATGCTTTGAAGATGAGAACACAATTACACAGCTTATTTTAATCCCTTAATGGAGTATCTGTTGCCATAACTTCAAACAGTCCCAAACATTTAAAATATATGAGTGTTCAATATGTTTGCTAAACTTTTTTTACTCTAATCACTGTTTTCCTTAAGAGTTACTGAAAGTTGATAATCAGGAGCGTATTTCTGGAGGAAAATCAAAAATGAAAAAGCCACTGTGGCTACCTGAATTTCTGAGGACTGTGATGATTCCCTATTTCTCTATCATGTGACTCAATCTTGATGATTTTGAAAGTAATGTGAGGAAATGATTGTAGGAGTGAGGGTGGGGTCATGCTGGCAGACAGGGCTCCTGAAAGTCTTCCCCACCGAGACTAGATGTCGTAATTCTCTTTCATGTGTCATAACTGCCCCCTTGAAGATTTATACGTGTGGCAACTCTTTTTTTAATGTTTGGATTTTTTTCTTTTTTATTAGTGTTTAATTACATAAGTAATACACTGAATCTGTTCTTCTTGAAAAATTAGAACATTAGCGATAAAGCTAAAATACCCTTTTACCTCCACTACCCCCTCAACAAACCTAGCCCCATCCCCACTTCCCCAAAATAGCTACTGCTAGAAATTTGAAATATTTTCTAAGTAATATTTATTTTGGGTGTGTTTTAGCACTCATTCTTAATGAGTGAAATTTTGTTATAATTAGTACTATCATTTTGCTCCTTCAAGTTAGGTGCTTACACCCAAGAAAATCCTATTTAGGAAAAAAGAGTAGAAGGATGTATACCTAAATATTAATATGATATCTGGTAAGATTATAGATGATTTTTGTTGAAATAATTTTAAGTTTATGATATGTGAATTATATCTCACTAAAGCTGCTATTAAAAATAGATATGCAGGGGCTGGCCATCTGGCTGAGTGGTTAAGTTCACACGCTCTGGTTCAACGGCCTGGGGTTCATCAGTTTGGATCCTGGCTGTGGACCTGGCACTGCTCATCAGGCCATGCTGTGGCTGTGTCCCACATAGAAGAACTAGAATGACCTACAACTAGGATATACATAGAAGAACTAGAATGACCTACAACTAGGATATACAACTATGTGTTGGGGCTTTGGGGAGAAAAAAAGAAAATACATCTGTAAAAATAATTTTAAGTACTTTTCTAAAAAGTCTGCAATCAAATGTGTTTCTTCTACAAATCAAAAAGTACTCAAAGTAAACAAAATAATCTCTGAGAATTACCCCTCTTCCCCATCTACCCCTCCCCATCATTATTTTAAGTGATATTCCTTCCCTTTATAAACTACCTTATAAACAATGAATTAAAAGAGTAAAATACGATGTGTTGAGAATTTTGTCATACAATTAAGTGTTTGCATGCATAATTCCAAATGCAAATACTAAGCAAGATTTTGAAAAATTTGCAAAAATCCAGTCTCAAACAAAATATAGTACATAGGCATGAAGATATGTGTTACTTACATTAATTTTGAGTTAGTAACTTGAGTTTCTGAAAGTCAGAAACAACTGTACAATTTTTGACATTTATTTTTTAAATGCTTTTTTGGCATATAATTTATGTAACATAATAGTAACATTTCAAGTATGAAATTCCAAGTTCTTAGCATATTTGCAGAGTTATATAACCATAATTGTGATCTAATGTTAGGATATTTCCATCACTGCAGAAGAAAGTTCATTCCATTTACATTCACTCTCTATCTCTCTTATGACCCCAGTTCTAGATAACTGTTAATCTGTTTTTTGTCTGTATATGAGCCTTTTATGGAAATTTCTTGTAAGTAGAATCATAAATGATGTCGTCTTTTGGGTCTGGTTTCTTTCACTAGATTAATAATTTTAGTTCCATCCCTGTTGTATAATACATCCTTACTTCATGCCTTTTCATTGGTGAATAGTATCCTGTTGTATAGATATACACATTATTTTTTCTTCCACTAGTTGATGGATATTTAGGGTGCATCTATTTTTGGCTGTTATATGTAGGTTTGCTACGAGCATTCACATATGAGTCTTTGGCCATATATTTTCATTTTTTTGCTGTATACCTGGGAGTGAAATAGATTCTGAATCATATGGTAATTCCATGTATAACATTTTAAAGAAATGCCATTTTTTTACAAAGTGGCTGCAAGATTTTACACTCCTACCTGCAATGTATGAAGTTTCCATATTCTACACACCTTTGCCTGCACTTGTTGTTTGTCAACCTATATGCCCGTTGATGGATGAATAGATAAAGAAAATGTGATCTGTGTAGCTGTCTAAATGGAAT